TGTCTTTGTGTCCCCTGTGTTTAGAACAGTGCCTAGCACATAGTACGTATTTAATAAGAGTTTGCTGACTGACTGACTGATGGCAAATACAGGTTTCTTTGGAGGTAAAAGTGGGATTTGCTGGAATTTCCAGTAGTCCTATTGGTTTCCTTTCTGAAAGGAGTCCAAGATAGAGGTTGTTGTTTTCAATTTGGAGGGCTGCATATGTATATGAAAAGTGAGACTCACTGAAAAAAATTATGTTGGGATTTTGGGACTTCCCTACTAGCAATTTCAAGTTCATCCCTCTTCCAAAAAGAGCCAAAACCACAGGATAGCACAAGAACTCAAAGATCCACACACATCCCTGTGGAAAGTGGTACATATCAGAATGTTGGGAAGTGCTACTCCTACCCCAGTCATTTCAAGTTTGTTTTCCCTCTAAGGAGAGTCCAGACTACAGGGTGGTACTATGAGAAAGCTAGATCATTCAACGGATGAAATGCTGGGCCTTGGAGACAAGAAGACTTGAGATCCTTACTAGCCTTGTGACCCTGGGCAAGTCATTTAACCTGTTTGCCTTAGTCCACTGGAGAAGGAAATGGCAAACCTCTCCAGTATCTTTGCCAAGAAAACCCCATGGATAATATGGTCCATGGGGACACAAAGATTCAGATATGACTGAGCAAACAACAACTATGATAAGCATGGAGGACTTTAGGATCTCTGGAAAGTGGGATTTATCACAGTAGGCAGAGAGATATTTTCATTGTTTGTGGCCTAATTTGAAACTTTTATTTGTTTTCTGCCTGATTTATAAGATCCTTGAAGTCCTTCCTATTTCCTGCATTTTCTGTGGGGTAGAATACAGAGTCCTGTGCCTGATATATGTGTTATTATCCTGAGCACTGAAATATGATCTGCTGGGCCCTTTGATTCACAAAAGTAGAAACCTAGGCTTTGCACTCAAATGTCTTCTGAAGTTCCCCAGAGAAGGGGAAGAGACAGAATATGTTCAAAAGAGTTATATTTTTGGCTGCTTCCAAGATTGGACCTGGTCCCCATAAACCTAGAACACGGGGTTCTGAGCTATGGGTTTCACTGTCATCTGGAAGTTCATTTTCTTGAACAGCAATACCTCTCCTTGAGAAATTGCTGCAGAACAGCTGTGACATAGTTGTTAGCTACATTATTATTCTCCATGCTCAAGGGTAATTGCAAGCTAGCTGTAATCACACATTGTTTATTTGCCATTAGTTAAGAAAACCTTTTGGATCCTAGAAACTGATATGCTCCAAAGTAGAACACTGAGATTTATTTTAGTGAACCATTCACATTTTTAGGTTAGATATTTCTTTCACTGATCCAAACCAAAGCCTTTTTACAGCTCTTTTATGCCATTTGTCCAGGTAGTCCCATCAAACCTAAGTAGAAAGTCTACCCAACTCACTATTTTTCTTTTATTATCTCAGGGATACCTATATAAGATCTGAATTATCGGTTGTCTCTCATTTTCACTAGGCATGTTCTTTTGGAGTCAAATATGTCCTTAGCAATGGTTTTTGTGTCCTTTTCACAAACAGGTCATCTTTAGTCTTGTCTGTTTGAATTAGAGCCAGATAACCCCAGGTTAAAATCTCTGTTCTACCATTGGTAATAGCTCCAAGACTCAGTTTCCTAGTCTGTAAAAAGATGGGTTGGAAGAGGGGGTTAGATTAGATGGCCTTTCAGTTTTGGAATTTCCCTTCCAGTTTTAAATCTATGATGCTATGACTGAGAAAGTGATAGAAGGCTATGTCAACTGCTTCTGTGTATCCAAGTTAAATGAATCTTAAATCTATAGCTAGAAGTAGCCATCTAGTTCATATCTTCACTTCACAGATGGGAAACCTGACACCCAGAAAGGTTGAATAACTTGCCCACCATCAGGCAGAAAGTAAATGGTAAAACCAGCATTTGAATGTGTGTCCTGTGATTCCAGTTTCAGCTCTCGTTCTGCTGTCCTATCCCACCTCCTTTAGTGAGCCCATTAGAAATAATCTATTGCCATACCCTCATTTTAAAGGTCTTTTTTTAAGGTCCCCAGAACAGCAGCAAGACCCAATGGTTGCGTTGTCTAGAGCTTTTTCAGCACTGAAAGCACTCGATTTGGAATCATAAGACTTGAGTTTGCATTCCAGCTTTGCCACTGGGCAAATTATTGGTTGGTTGAGGGCAATGTGTTGTCTTTGGATCAGATCGCTAAGTGCTGGTTAAAAGCTGGTTGTGTTGAATTCAATTGTCGTTCAGCAAATGTTTGTTAACCTTCTACTATGTGCCAAGTGCTGTGTTAAATGTTGAAGATACAAAAATTCAATTGAAACATTTCCTGCCCTCAAGGAGCTGATTATATTCTACAGAGGAGACAACACAGAGGCACTGTGGTGCAGGGAGAGAACATTGACTGTGAAATCAGAAGACCTGGGTTCAAATTCTCTTCTGATACTATGTGTATGACCTCGAGAAACTCAATTGACCTCTCTGGGCCTCAGTTTCTTCATCTGTTAAATGAGGGAGTTGAACTATAGGAAGTTTTTTGTGATCCTCCTTCATTCTCATGCCTTCTCTGTGCTAATTCTCTCCAATTTATCTGGTACATAAATTGTTTGGACATGTTACCAATGTCTGGCACACATTAGGTACTTAATAAATATTTATTGATAGATGAGTTGATCTCTGAGGTTTCTTCTTGCTCTAGATTTATGATCCTAAAAATAGCACATACACACATAAGTAAATACGAAGTAATTTCAGGGGGAGAATACAATGTCACTCCTCTCCACTTCCAGAATAAGACTAATAATAATCTCACCATACTGGTCTTCTTATTGTCCCTCATATACAGCACTCCATTTCCCATCTCTGTATCTTTTTTATTAGCTGACCCCCATGCCCACAATTTTCTCCTTCTTCACCTCTTGGAATTGTTGGTTTCCTTTAAAATTCAGTTTAAGTATCACCTCTTACATGAAGTCTTTCTAGATCCCTCGCCTCTCCCCCAGCTCCTAATGGCTTCCTCTCCAATGTTTCCCTCTATCTACTTTATGTGAGTTTTGTATAAATTTTAATATGTACCTATTGTCTCCTCCATTAAAATGCCAACTCTTGGAAGGCACAGGTTATTTTGCTCTTATTTCCCAAGTACAGTGCTTGGCACATAGCAAATACTTAATAACGACGTGATTTATTGATACTAAAAAATGTGATAATAGCTCACATTTTTATGTTTATTTGAGGTTTAGAAAGCACTTTAGTGGAGGATTCTCATCTTTAAAATAGGGATAATAATATCTATTCTGCTTATTCTTATGAATATTACAGTAAATAATGGATACAAAGTTCTTCATAACTATAATGGGCAACATAAATGTAAATTATTGTTAGATGAATTGATTATTCAGTAAATTGATTTTAGTAATAGTGACCTAAAGCACAGTTATATAACTGACTTAGTCTTAAAATGCTTTGAGCTAGAAATGTATTAACAGAACCCAAAAAAACAATGGTCTAAGCATTCTTGTGGATGTTGAAAACAACCATGAGAAAATGAGATCAGGGAAATGTTAGAAACTAAATAGGGAAAATAGGATTATTTTATGCTGTAAAATTGGCGCATTTCTTATTTTAAATAAATATTTAATTTCATATTTGATATTTTAGGATAGAGGCTCTTAACCTGTGATCCCCCAGGGGATCCATAGATAGGTTTCAAGAGGTCCTTGAACTTAGGATATATATACATAGGTATAGATGCATATAGATACACACATACATACATATACATATATATGATGGGAATATATGCATATATGTATATATAATCTATATTCTATATTTTATTATGTATACTACAATATAAATATATCTCTAATATATACATATACACATACATATATACATATACATACACATACATATATATACATACACAATATATATTTGGCCTTCTTTGTAATCCTGTGTATTTGTTTTATGTTTCATGCCTTTAAAACCATTATTCTGAGAAGGGTACTAAAGATTTTACCAGACCACCTAAAGAACCAATAATGCACTCCAAAAAAGCCAAGAAATCCTGTTTTAAAGGGAAAAAAATCACAAAAGCACTTTCCATAGTGTCTGGAACACATATGCTTATTTTTACATGTTAAATTGAGATTAATTGTATTGAATCACTGCCACTGGAATTTTCTTACAGAATTCAACAAGCATTAATTAAGTACTTCCCTGTCTAGGCACTGGAGATACAAAGACATAAATGAGAAACAATCCCAGTCCTCAAGAAACTTCTACTTTAGGGAGAAGGGAAGAAAGAATAAAAACTTTTATGCAGATGAGTAAATACTAACCATGCATTATAAAGATGGACAACTTATCCATGTTTCCTGGACCACAGTTTGGGAAACGCTAACCTAGAGGACTCTTGTTTTAGGTCTATGCCCTAAGATCGAGGGGAATACAAACACAGTGAAAGAGGGGTTTTCCAATGCAGTCTAGAGACAGGGGCTTCCCAAGAAAAGAAACAGGCTCTTACTTGGGCTGGGCCTCTAATCACAGCCAGGAGACAGATTCACACAATCTCAACACTGCCACAGCCATGACCTTGAACTTTTTCCTTTGAGATTCATCCCTCTGATCCCCACCAGAAAAAAAAAAAGCATAATCTTATTTAAAATGATTCAATAAACAACTAGTTTATGCACTGTGCTGCAGGGACACAGTTACTCCCTAAATTGTTGCTTCCACCTGTCAATACATTTAAGTTTCTCCCCTTCGCCCCACGATGGGGCAATGCCCTTTTGTCTTTAAAAGGCATCCTGAAGAAATACTGCCAGCAGCATAAGGGGTAAAGGAGGGGACTGCAAATCTTTGCATCCCTGGGACCCTTGACCCTCACTACTTCAGCCTGGAGTGAGCAGGGACAACCTCACTCCTGCTCCTTCCTTCCTAAATAGGCTCTTTGAAATGTGAGTTTTATGGGCAGGATCGCAGTTGCTTTAAATTATCGGAGCTGGCGAGTGCCTGAGAGAGAGAAGGAGTGGGAGGCTGTTTCAATTGGGAAAGACAGTTGCAGAACTTAGTTCCACAAGAGCATGAGCTCCTAGCTTCAAACGCCTTCCTGGGGCTCTGACAAGTACTGCCTTTTCTCCTCCAGAGCTTTTCTGTGACATTTCGAAGGGGCTTTGAGAAAACAAACGTCTCTTTCTGGCATCCAGTTGTTGCGTTGACCAAATTCATGGGACAATCAGTACGAAGGAGTTTCATGTTCTTGTGGGCAATTTGATGTGTCAGCTCCTTGGAGGGAAGGTAAGCTGGCATTTCCCCTGAGCGTGTTGAGGGGCAGGGGGAGGGAGTGGAAGGAACGTGTGGTGGATGCTTTGAGAGTTGCTTCTGCTTTTTTATTCCTGGTGTTTGCCCTTCATCAGGAGTGTTTAGTGGAGGAAGGGAAGGCAGCTGCTCCCAGAGAGATGGGATCCTTTTTTTTAATTCTTATTTTAAGAGAGTGTGGGAGCAAATGATGAATTGACTGCTTTCAGCAGTTGGTGTTTTTTGGTTCTGTGGCTTTGGGGGTGTGGAGGGATCTTTGGGAAATAGTTTTGCATTTAGGAAACATGATTGCCTCCTTGCAAAACAGTTCTCGAAACCCCAACCTGAGCTGGCCTATGTGTGGCTCTGCTAATGAGTTTGTTTACTGCCTAGTCAGTCTCTTTCTCTCTCTTTTGCTCTCCATGCCTTCCAGCTTCCTGACCCCCGATATCTTTTCTCTCCATCCATCAACAACAAAATCTTCCCTGTTAATGACTTTCGGTATCATTCTGAAAATTGGCCTCAGTTTTATTGCCATGGCACCTGGTCAGCTAGTTTCAGAAACTATTCTAAGAATACTAAGTAAGTAAAACATTTGACTCTTCCTTAGGCTTTGGAAACCAAATAGGAGGATATTCTATGTGTGGATTTTCCCCACAAAAAAAAGTAAAAAATTACATCGTCATTTAACTGCAGTCACAATCCATTCTCAGGGTGACTGTGTGCATAGGGTGATCTGGCAGCCTCTTTTGCACAGGTTAGGAACAAAAGATATTCTGAATATTTCCTTGTTTTGTTTTTTCTCATTAGGCCCATTATCCCTGCTCATGGAGAGTTTAGGCCAGAAAGTACATAAGTAGCTCTTTGACTGCTGCTGTGTTTCCTTAACAAACTCTCCAGTTATCATTCTTCTGCTTGGGCCCAGCTGGATATCCAGGTGCACAGAAGGAGATATTCCCCTTGTCTGTGGATTCTATGGGCAGATGCATCTCATACCAAATTCTTCATGGGCAGGCACTTGGGCTGTCTCAGGCTGAGCTTTGAGGAGTCTGTGGATAATTTTCAGCTGGAGATATCTGTGACGTTCTTAGCTACTCCATCTACCAGGCCCTGGCAGTAGGCCCACTTGGGCAGAGAAATGGTCTTTTGGAGAAACCAGTGACAAACTGCCATGCCCTGATCTGCAGAAGAGGGTTGGGAGGGGCCTACCCAGGAGATGAGAACTCTTATGGCCATAATTTCTACCTGCTTCATTGTAACAGACAATTAAAATTATTCTTTCTGTCTTATAGCTTGTGGGAATAATCCAAATCCTAGGGCTTTTTGAATCTTCTTGGGCCTAGAGTCTTCTGTCCCTTTGGAAAGGAGACTAGAAACTGAGGCAAGACTTATTGGGAAGGCAGAAGGAATAGAGGCAGAATGGTAGTTCATGATAAGGGGATATTATAGCACACCTCAAATTTTCTCTTCTTTTCCTTCTCCTTTTTCTTCAATCCATTTCTTTACCAGCTCCAGAGAACACCAGGCAGTGAAAGATTAAACAGAGAGTGACTTTATGATCCCCTTTTTTGCATTGTTTCCCCTCTGAGAGTCATTGGTCCAACTGGGGAAGCCCCCACCCTATCTTGAGGTGGAGGGGCCCTCCCACCAGCACCACCCCCACCACGCCATGACATCATTCTTGACAGCCTGATTGCTAGAAACATCCAGTGAGCTGCATGGCGCCTGTGGCTACCCAGGGGATGGGTGGGGCTGAGAACTGCGCAGTGTGGCATTACGTGAGCACTCCAGCTTTCAGACGGACTCCATCCATAGCCATAGGAACCCATGGCACTTCAGGAAGTCACACAACCCTCCGGGGCTCTTAACAGAATCATACTTTGTGATACTCTTGTCTCTACTGAGTCATCAGAAACACTTGTCATTGGGAGATGTTTAGAACTAGAGAGATTTAAAATGAAAACTGGACAAAACACTGGAAAGCCCAGGTCAGGCACATTCCTCTACTGTCGGGGGAGGGACCCGATGAGCTAATCGTTTTTTTCTTATCTTTCATTCCCCGGCCTTATGAGATTCGCGCTCTATCGTCTAGCTGTAAGGTACAATCCTAGAGATGAAGCAGGTTACTGGTTAACAGCACAGCTAAGCCTCCTTCACTTTGTGGTCACGATCCTGACATTCTAAGGCTGCAAGTCCGTTACAGTTTTCCAGACTCTAAAATCTTGAAAACAGCCCTATGACCGCTAACTGGGATGTAAACATTAATTCTTTGGCCAGAAACCAAATTCCTGAGAAGACAGGAAAGAGGAAAAGGGTTAAGTCAGGCATATTCTCTAATCTCTACTGGACAATCTTTTAAAAATATCTCCATGTATCAGAACTGGGGTAATGGAGACATTCAACTTAGTACGCCTACGACGAGAGGCAGCCATGTTGTTTGTGATGGAAAGATCAATGACTTACGAGTTAGAGGACCTGGATTGAATTCTAGTTCAGCACTGCAATCTGTGAGAATTTGGGCAAACCACGTAACTCCTACAGGCTACAGTTTCCTCCTCTACAAAATAAAGGAGCTGAACAAGGTGATCTCTAAAGTCAGTGTCCTAGATTTAAAGCTACAAGGGATGTTCAAAATCATCTAATTGGTACAAAATCATTATAAAATGCCTTTTCTCCTTTCTGCCCCTCTGTCTCAGTATGTATCTCCCTGGCTTCCATTTCTGACTAAGCTAGTGGTTCAGTACTGTGCATAAATAGAAAGAGACTGCTTTTGAGTTTTTAAGGTTTTCTTTTTATGATCATCTGCTTCTGTATATGCATATGGTTAAGATCCTTATACTATCATTTGCTAATTCTGCCTTTTATGTAGTCCTGATTGAAGAATAAGATAAAACTTAAGTTCAACCATTTAGAGTATATTGTACAGGGGGAAATAAATAAAATGGTATTTTATTTTTAAAGTATTTAATTAGCATTTTTTGTTTCCCAGATAGGCTTTTTTTTCTTTTTAAACTAATATGTAGTGTATACATTTAAAATGATGTAGAAAATGATGAATAAAGGTTAGGAGCACAAATTGAAGATTAAGATGATAAGCAAAGGTTTTTTCCATAGTACACTATTTTCTTCTGATTTAGTAAAACACGGCTTGTACATTTAACTGCCAAGTTCTGTAAGAGTAATGATACATAATATCCCAAACTAAAACAAAGCAAAAGGAAACAAAGTCATCTGGTCAAAGCCCACATTTTATGCATAAGGAAATCAAGTAACAAAGAATCTAAGTGATTCAGCCAAGGTGACAGATAGTAAGCGGCAGAATGCAATGCTAGCTTTAATATTTTAAATTTAATATTTAATATATGCTCTCTACAAATATTTACCACCCCAAGGAGAAAAAGAAGAGGGATCAAAAAACAAATAAAATCCAAAGCAAAAACAAGCAAGTTTTTACCTGGGATTTCTTTTGTTTGAAGAAAAAAGCCTCCAGTATGTAAATTTCTACAAATTTTTATTTAACAACATGCAAAGCACTGCATTGGTTACTACAGGGAACTAATTCTCCCCCCAAGTAGTTTGCAACCCATCTGGGAGAGATTGAACAAAATATAAATAATCATCAATGCATATTAAAATATAATGAATAAATATCAGAATGCATTTTAAAAATATAATAATAAATAAAATCAGAATGTAATAGAAGAAATATAAACTAAGTCTTAAGTGGGTTAAGAGAAGGAAGGGATCCTGTCCAACTGAGAGAGAAGATAAGACTTCATCAAGAAGTGGCGTTTGGATTTAACCAGGTAACAACTGAGTGGAAAGCATTCCAAGGAGGAGGAATAGACTGAGTAGAGGCAGGAAAACCTAAATTAAGTTCTCCTAAATAATGAGTAGTCCACTTTGACTGGAGTGTAGTATCCATGTGGGACAGTTAGATGGCTCAGTGGATAAAGCACTGGGCTCAGAGTCAGGAAGACCTGTGTTTAAATGAGGCCTTGGACACTTACTGGCTGTGTAACTCTGGGTAAGTCACTTAACCTCTGTTTGCCTTAATCCACTGGTGAAGGAAATGGCTCCAGTATCTTTGCCAAGAAAAACCCCATAGACAGTATATTCCATGGGGTCCCAAAGAATCTAACACGACTGAACAGCAACAAGTAGCCCTGTAGGGAAATTGTAATGAATAAGACTGGACAGTGAAACATGACTAAAAAGGAATGTGAGAGCCAAACTAGAGGACGTCAAATGCTAAACCGAGGGTTTTCATGTTTTTATTTTGGAGGAAATAGTCACTGAATATTTTTGGTTAAGGAATGGACATGATAGGAGCTGTGTTCTAGTAAAGTCAATTTCTCAACTGTGTGGAAGATGGGAAGGGAAATGAATAAGCAATTATATAGCACCTACTATGTGCCAGGAACTGGTAAGCACTTCTTACAAATATGATCTCATTTGAGCCTGTGCTATTATCATCTCCATTTTATAGTTGAGGAAACTGAGACAAAGAGAGGTTAAGGGACTTGCCTAGGGTCACACAGCTATCAAATGTCTGAATCCAGATTTGAATTCAGGTCTTCCCGACCCTAGGCCCAGTGTTTTATCCACTGTGCCATGAGATGGATCAAAGAAGGAAGAGAGTTTAGGCAAGGAGTCCAATTTGGTGGCTATTGCAATAGTCCAAGCCAGAGATTATGAGGGCCTGAACTGAAGGGAGGGAAGTGAAGGATGAGAAATGAAGCAGTGTGAGTGGAAAGAAATGAAAAGATGTAAGAAATGTGAGGACTGGATGGACAAAGCCCTCCATTATCTGGTCTCCACCTACCTTTCCAATCTGTTTTGTTGTTCAGTCATTTTTCAATCATGTCAGACTCTCTGTGACCCCATTTGGGATTTTCTTGACAAAGAAACCAGAGTGGTTTGCCATTTCCTTCTCCAGCTCATTTTACAGATGAGGAAACTGAGGCAAACAGGGTTAAGTGACTTGCCCAGGGTCACAC